CTGGGTGTTTCTTGGGGATTGCAGTGCCTGGAGCTAGGAGCCAAGCCTACGCCAGGCGGAAAGGAAATCTCAAGTGAATGAAACAGTCGCGAGTGAGGCGCCTGCACAAGCTCGGGCCTGGTGATCCTCTACTTCTGGTTTTCCAGGGCATGTCTATACGCAACTCCAACGAGTTTTACGAGCTGCATTTGACTTGACTTTGTGAGGGGTCCATCTGAACTCGTGGCAGGAAGTAATGCATGAATCTCCATTTGCTCTGGAGATGGGGAGATGAGGCCACCTCTCTTTATCCTGAAATAAGAACCTCTCTGTGTCCTTTGAGTGGGGAGAAAAATCTAGAATTAGACATTACATTTATTTGGAAGACTGTCTCTGAGGACCTCAGTGGTTGGAAGGGCCCTGGTATCCCTCCCAGGCCCCAGGACTCCGTGGAACACAGTTTTTGCCTCTGGGAGGTGGGCTCTGATGACCTGAATGAGCCTCAGGACTTTTTTTGTTAAAGATTTATTTATTTATGCATACAGAACTGGGGTACAAGCCATGGGTGCAGGGGTGGTGAAAGGATTCACCAGAGACGGAGTGGGGAGCAGAACTGGGAGATTGATGAAGTACACTGCTGAGGGGAGCAGCAGGCGGGTCAGGAGAGGTCTGCCACGCTGTGTGGGTCACCTCCGGGTGGGGGATCAAACTTGCACTGAAGCAATTGCAGCCAGCTTGCAGTGCTGCGTCCTAAACATTGTGCCACCAGGGAGGGCCCTCCTCAACACTTCTATTCTGGATTCTAGGTCAGCAGCTGGACTTTGGGTAGGTTATCATTTTAAAATCTTAATTTGGTTGATACTGAAAAGTAAATGAACCCGCAATGGGAAAAGCTGGTCTGTGAAGGATTTCCATCTCCTCCAAATGTGGGTGTCCTCCTCTGGAAATGGAAGGACTCAACCAGGTGAGTGTTGCCAGGGCCTTCAGCTGGCTCTCCCTGGGTTGGAGTTGAGCATCTCTGCTGGAACTTCTCTGCTGCAATCTGGGTGTGTGGGTGGAACTGTGCCCCCCCCCCACTCTCCCCCAAATGCACAAGGCAGAAGTCCTACTCCCTAGCATCGCAGAATGTGACTGTATTTGGAGACAGGACTAATGCAAAAGAAATTAAGGTAAAATGAGGTCTCCAGTAGGCTGGTGTCCTTAGGAAGAAATGAGGGGCCCTCCCTGGTGGCTCAACGGGTTAGGACACAGCACTGCAAGCTAGCTGTAGCTGCTTCAGTGCGAGTTCGATCCCCGGTCCCGGAGGTGACCCACATGGCACGGAAGGCCTCTCCTGACCCGCCTCTGCTCCCCTCAGCAGTGTCCTTCATCAGTCTCCCTGTTCTGCTCCCCACTCTGTCTCTGGTAAATCTTCTCACTGACCCTGCACTTCTGGCCTGTACCCCAGTTCTGTATGCATGAATAAATATATATTTTTTTTTTTTTTAAAAAGAAGAAATGAAGGTGCAGGCATGGTAAGCACAGCAGGGAGATGGGGAAACGGCGTGCAGCGGCCACCGCGAGCCAAGGAGCGAGGCCTGGGGTGGGGGCGGGGCGTGGGGAGCAGCTCCGCCCACACACACCTTGGCCTCAGCGGTCCAGCCTCCAGAAGAGAGAGAGAAGTTTGTGCTGTTTGCGCCTCCGAGGCTGAGGAGCCGGGCCGTGGCCGCCCTAGCACACCGACTTGCTGGGCTCCCCCAGGACGGCCGCTGAGCGGTGAGACGTTCCCTGTGCTCCTCTTAACAGTTCTTTCCATTGGGTTGAGCCTAAAATAGGCTTTTCTTTTGTGGCATATTCAAAATACTTTATAAAAAGGTCAGTTTCTCTGTCATCAGATGTGAAGTAAGTCATTTTAGTAACATAAACCCTTTATTTAGTAAAATAGTCCCCTCCCCTGCTTTTTTTTTTTTTTCTTTTCTTGAAGGGAATTTCACAATTTTGGCCCAGAGAATTGCTTTTCTGCACAGTTCATTTAAAGTGAAAGAGCTCATTGGAGCAGCTCCCAGGTAAAAACACCTTTCTCAAGAAGCTCGGGCCAAACAAGCAGCTTCAGAGGGAGCATAGCCCAGGCTCTGGTTAGCCCTTGGGCTCCAAAGTTCGCGCAGAACCAGACACCATGTGACCGTGTTACAGAAGAACAAATGAAAAGCCAGAGACAGGTCACTGCTTATCAATGCAGTTTCAGACGCTCAGATTTTTACTTGAAGGAAAGTAGGTCATTACCACAACGGATCGTTCTTTCCTTTAGTAGCACGATTCGAGCTCTTTCACTAAGCAGTCACTTGTTAGAACGTAGCAGCCAATATAAGATTGGGGATTCCCTCATTTTCTGCAAGTTTCATTTAATCAGGAGTAAAATTTCTCACGGTGGTGGAGGGCGGTGTCTTTTCTGGATCAAAACCACACACTTGGGAGGCTGAAATCATGCAGTTCTGGAGACAGTAAGACTGAGAGCCTGACGAGAGCACCTCAGAGCGGGGCACAGCCGGGCTCAGGGCTGGCTGCATCACCTTCTTCCCGCCTGCGCAAGGCGCGATGCTGTCCAGGACTCTGCCTGGCTGAAGCGCCGGACACGCAGGCCAGTGGGGATAGGCGTAGGTAGCCTTTTCACATTCATTTTACGAGATGAGACACGACTAGCTTGTGTGTGCAGCCGGCCTTTCTGGCTTTATCTCACTGTAAGAAGGACAGTTTATGGCCCTCCCTGGTGGCGCAGCGGGTTAAAGCACTGCACTGAGAAGCTAAAGCCGCTTCCGCATGAGTTCGATTCCCGCCTGCCCCGGAGGTGACCACAGGGCGCGCCAGACCTCTCCTGACCCGCCCGCTGCTCCCCTCAGCAGTGGACTTCGTCGATCTGCCTGTTCTGCTCTGCTCCCCACTCTGTCTCTGGTGAAGCCTCTCACCCTCTGCATCTCTGGCCTATACCCCAGTTCTGTATAAGCACATCTTTAAAAAAATATATTAAAAAAAAAAGGAGAGTTTATAGATTTTTAGAAAGACATCTTACCCCTAATCACTTCTCACTGGGAAAAAAGCTTGGTCTGTCAAGAGCCCTCAGGGTGTCGTGAAGAACTGCAGGCACTTTTCTTTCTAGTTATCGACAGAATGGAAAAAATCCAGCTTATTTATATTTATTTATTTATTTATACGGGTAAGGAATAAATTAAGGAACACTTCATTTCAAACACAGATTGCTTTTATTTTAGCTAAGCTAATGTTTCAGTTCCATATATACTTTTGAATTTCCATCAATGCCAAACACCATTTTTTTCTCTCTTCTAAACAAACAAACAAACAAAAAAAGATTTACAAGGAAACTCAAGGAAAGTAGGCTGAAGGTTCATAATAACAATTTTCCTTAAAAAAAAAATCCATCAGACCAAAATAAAATCATTTTAATTAACTCCTTCCTGAGTAACTAAAACCTTGGAATGTGCTGAAAGGTTATAATAAATAAGGCAGTCAAAGATCAATCAGCTTAAAATGTATTTTTTAAATTAAACTATGTAAAATGTACAATATATTTCATGAAGTACAAACTCCGCTGGGCTCAGGGCCAAAGAAATATTGTCACGTGGGTCAAATGAACAGACGAAGCCCCTGCCATGGGGACAGTGACAGTGAGGCCTGCAAGTAAACGAGACGGCATCTTTCGTCAGGATGTCACCGAGCACAGCTGCATGGGAATGCTTTTGAACACACAGGTGGCTGTGTTCTCTTGAACTTGCCCAAGGGGATGCAATTTTTTAAAATGACCAGTGGTCCCGATGTTCGGACAACAGCCAGCTCAGCCTTATTCTCAGGTAGTGAGACGGCATGTGTGTGAACTACTTCTCATTCCTTATATGCAATTTCATAGAAATGACTCACAAGGTCCTAGATTTAGTTCTTGTTCTGGTTTGGAATGGGAGTGATGTTCTTGGGAAGGGGCACTTGCGAGTGGAGGCCTTGGCGAGGGTCTGGTCTCTTCAAGCAGGACAAGGCGAATGTCCCCTCCAAGAATATGTCCATCCGTCATATTGCTGCCCCAGTTCTCCGAGGCAGCAAGGAGCCCACACGCGGCCACACGCTGGGTGTTGAGCCTGGTGTTCCCAGGCTTCCCGGGGCTCCTGCGGGGCGGGCCTTCGGAATATACCTCAGAATCGAGCAGCTCTAGTGCCCACTTGACAGGTTCCAAAGGACTTGCTTTATATCTTGGCTATGGTCCAATTTTAGGGAACGAAGAAAAAATCCTAGAGAGACTTGTTGGTTTCTGAAAAGTAGAAAACGTGTTGCTTGTGTGAAGTCAGAGTCTTACTGACTGGTAAGTATTCCCAAATTACACTTTGCTAGTTCTCTTGAAGGGCTGGCTCTAGGGTAAAACTTGAAGGAGAGAAAATGTGCTGCAAGTGTCATGCCTGCCATTGCCATCTGCCATGCTCTCTACCTAGGAATGTGTGTTCTTACTGGTAGGTGGCTAAAGAGCTCAGCTCAAGAGGCTTCTAATGATCAAACCAAGGCATCACAGGTCCCTCATCATAGGTGAGGGAAGTGTGTGTGTTGGGGGGGAGAGAGACTCTGCTCAGGTCACTTGGGGGGCAGTGGCCTGCTGATAGAGCTGGGCAAGCAGTCTGTTACCCAGCAGCTCCTGCTTCTTCTCTTCTTGCTGTAACAGTGTTTTCACGGGTGAGCAGCTTTGGTAAGAAATGGGACTGTATGTACTCCTACTGCCTCCAGCATAGAATTCTTTTTTTTTTTTTTTCTTTATCAACAAGAATGCTACCTCTTAAGGGTCTAGAAGGTTTGATACCAAGTATCATGGGATGTGCTTCATCAGTGGGTATACCTGTTGGACTTGTGTGCACGCTGTGGTCAATCTCAACACTTCTGCCACAGGAAGCAAGCACAGGATCTAAGCAGGTGCTTGGGGGCCCAGTGACACATTGCTGGGAGAGAGACACTGTGCATGGGTGCAAAGGCAGGACCACACCAGGGTCCTGGTAACACTTGACTCCTGGCAACCTTGTCTGGCCTGAACTCTTCCTCACACAACAGACTTTTTTCCCGTAGGTCACTTTGATCCTTGTTGGAATGGTGGTTGGAAATGGAATGTCTCATTGGAGTTTGTCATGCACTTTGACCTTGAAAGGTACTCACGGCTCTGGACGGGTGGGACTGTCTCTCTCAGAGATAATAAGTACACTGTCCAAGGTGTAAATGTCCCCTGAGATGGAGCAGAGCCAGAGGTGTGCCCCTTTGGAAGTCCTGATCTGTCTTACCTTCTCTTAGATCCTTCGAGAGTAGATTCCTTGGTTTCTGAAGTGGTTTTGTATTCCTACTGAAATATACAAGTCTGGGTGTTGTCTACCACTGAGGTAATACTTTTACAGTATTACACCTGATAAGTTACTGGACTGCATCTCTTCCCCCTTCTCTCATCCCATGGGGGTGGGATGGGGTGGGTGGCGCTATTTTATTAGCAGATGCCTTGTAACGGGACCATCTCCTACCTGGGGAGGACCAAGGAGCCAGGAAAAACAAATAAAACCCGCAAAACCAGGCATCTCCCAAAGACCCCCAACCTGTGGGCTTTCTTTGTTCTTTTTAATGCAATGGAGCACTCATGTAGTCCCTTTGGGAATTTCTTCCCCAAACAAAAGACTTTCTGGAAAAGGGAGATAAAGCCAACAGAGGCAGCACAGTGCAGGCATCACCTCTTATAAATATCTTCCAGCCACTTCTCATCATCTTGTTCCTCATCATCAATCGGCTCCTCGGTTTCCAGTGGAGTGGGGATAAAGAACTGGGGCCTCAGAGAGGGCTTGCTGGAGTGCGACTTCAGTCCGAACTTGCGCTTGAGCAGATGGAACTGCTCTTTGACATAGTGGTAGAACTCGTACTCATATCTCATGCGCTGGTAGAGAATCTGCACGGCCTCAGGAGATGGGACGGTCTTCTTCACGGTCACAGTCATATTGCCAAGTTTCCGATGCTCTGGAAAAGAACCAGGTTGCATGTGAGCAATGGTGTGCATAGCTTCAGCTTTAAAAGGGGATTACACTGAAGCCAGTATCAACCCGCTTCAGTGGTAGTTTTGTTTTGTTACAAACTGGTAGTTCTTTTTTTAAGATTTATTTATTTTGTAACTGGGGTACAGGCCAGAGGTGCAGGGGGTGGTGAGAGGATTCACCAAAGACAGAGCAGGGAGCAGAACAGGCAGATCGTTGAAATACACTGCTGAGGGGAGCAGCGGGAGGGTCAGGAGAGGTCTGCCGCCATGTGGGTCACCTCCGGGGCAGGCGGGGATCGAATTCATGTTTAAGTGGCTTTAGCTTCTTAGCTTTTTAACCTGCTGTGCCACCAGGGAGGGCTCCAAACTGGTAGTTCTTAAAGAAAGAAACGCAATGAATGGATGGGTCTCAACAGTATTTGGAGAGATTTCACCATATTCTAGGTGTTAATATCAATGGTAGTTGATGAAACATTAACTCTCTAAGTTCCTTTCATGAGATATAATTAGGTCACAATGCAATTGTTAGTCTAAATTATACATTCTGTTGAACAACAAAAGCTACCTACTTTTCAGCTGTTTTGTAATACATGTAAAGAGCTTTGCTTTTAGAGGAAAAACAGGAAACAGGAAACACATTCTATTGAATAATCATCTTGGTCTCTTTTAAATATTGATATGTGTTATTGTTTAAATATTGATATGTTTGATATAGGATCATTTGCATTTCACTTTTTTTGACATTTATCAAGAAAAGTAAGAGAAAGACTGTTAGAGTTCTTATATTTATTTAAAATTTGTAAATTGATGTATTTTGAATGATTTTTAAAATTCTGATAAAATATATAGCTAAAATTTGCTTAGTTTTGTATTTATGTTAATGCTTAGTGATGCCAATTTATATGTCATAAATATTGGTTAACAGAAAAATATATGGGACATAAAATATTGGGCATTTTTAAGTGTATGTTATGGTGACATTAGTTACACTGCTACTTCCAAAACTCATCTCTCTGAGTACAAGCTTGACTCACTAACAATAGCTCTTCAGACTTCTCAACACTCCCCAGGTAACCTCTATCTACTTTCTATGAATTTGACTGTTACAGATATTTTACATAAATGGAATCGTATAATATTTATCCTTTTGTTTCTGAATTTTTAAACTCAGCACAATGTTTTTAAGGTTCACACATGTTGTAACGCATATCAGTACTTCAATTCTTTTTTATGGTTGGATAGTATTTCATTGTATGAACAAGCCACAATTTGTCTATTCACTTACCCGTCGGGAGCTACTTGGTTGTTTCCACCTCTTGGATATTGTGAAGACTCTTGCTATAAATATTTGTGTCCAAGTATTTCTTTGAGTCTCTATCTCCCTAATTCTCTAGGGAGATACCTAGGTATGACTTCTATGTTTAACTTTTTGAGGTACCACTTCAAAAAGAAGAAAAATCTCAGTGTCTGAAACATTTTCTGTTACTATCAAATCTGTGACAGTTCTGATTTCTACTGCTGTTTTTCTTATTTTTACTTTATTATTATTAACTGGTATTGCCATGTTAGTAAGAAGTGGTATCTCATTGTAGTTTTTATTTTCATTATACTAATGACTAGTGATGCAAAGCATCCTTCATTTTCTTATAAGCCATTTGCATATGTTCCCTGGAGAAATTTCTTTTAAAATTCTTTGTTTATTTTTGTGTGAGGTTGTTTAACTTTTTGTTGTTGAATTATAGGAGCCCTTTATATGTTCTGGCTATTCTGATTACATATATGATTTGGAAATATTCACCCCCACTGTGTAGGCTGTCTTCTTGACAATTGGATGCATGAAAGCTTTTAATTTTAATGAAAAATATTATTTTTCTTTTGTTACCACTACTTTGGCATTATAGTTAAGAAACATTACCAATAGTTTTTTTTTTTATCATCTCATTTTTAACTGAAATTTCTATCACCAATTCAAATAGGTATATATTATTTACTGAATGTAGGTCCAAACGACTGTTTCCAAAATCAGATTTATTCTATAGAAAATGAGAATTGAAATTTTTTTTCTTGGTAGTAACGACCTTTTTGAAATAAGGGTGTTACTTATTTGAAAGCTATTTCAAATTGAGTCTCTTGAAAGATAAAATGCACATATGTGTAATGAGTTCTAGAATCTTTATTGAAGAATTTGGCATAGTTGCTTTGAAAATGAGTTTTTGATAGAACATTTTATAGCCATCTTCCCTGTTGCTAGTAACTATAGCTAATTTGAGATGAGACACATTAATAAACTTTAAGGCTAAATATCCCCTTGGGTTTTTAAAATACAGTTTAACAATGGTGTTAAAACAGACAGGTGACAAGGAGTTTTAAGGTAGACACCAGGAGGCATGGGAAAAAGAATTCATTTATTTCCAGATTCCTACAATCTCTTCCTCTTGGAGAATCTAAAATACGTAGAAGTTTGTTATCTCATACCAAGAAATGTATTTTAAAATACATTCTTTAGTTAAATTATTTAGCCCAACCATTCCAAAAAGAATGTAAAGAACATTATCAAAACACATATGGTGCAATTAGCTGAAGTTAAGGAAACTGAGCGAAAGGTGACTGACTGCAGGGAAAAGCAGAGGAGAAAGGTCAATACTGGGGCAATGGTTTTTCCTACCCCAGATGGAAGGAGCTCGCCAGACCTGGCCTTTTACCCCAGGCCCTCTCTCAAGGAAGTAGACCAAGGCAAGGTCAGAGGGTTTCTGCAATTGTGCATTTTCAAGAAGAGTTTGATAAACTCTTCCCACTGGAATGTGTCTGTCTGTAGATATCACTTCCTCTTGCAAAGGACTTCCAGCCATGTCTTGGACTCTGTGGGCAAGCTTGTCTAAGTCAGAATATTATCAGGCCACTTCCGCTCACATACAATAAAGATTTTCCCACCTAGCTGTAATTGGCAATAAGCCAACATTTAAATCTCTGTATCTGTCTTCGGTATCTATTTCTCAATTAGTTAAAAATTCAGAAGGGAAAGGCATGATATTTATTAGTTTCCAAAACCCCCAATGGTGAGTAACACAAGTCACATGTTTTATATATATATATATATATATATATATATATATATATAAGTATCAAGAACTATTGATATTTATACAGGAGGCAAGTGGAAAGTTTGACTAAACTTTCCAGCAGCCAACAGAAATGTTAGCTTAATTTTATATTGCTTTTCACTTAAAAAACAATTATCTACAATTATTCCTCTTCCTCATTATAAAACTTCAGAGAAATACCTTCTATGCATTTTCTTAAGAAAAATCTGAAATGGAATTAGTGACATTTTAATGACATCTTTAGCATAAATTCAGCTGTGAGCTTCATGGGTGACAGAGGAAAAAGTGTGTTTCAGGAACTCAATTCTTAACCAGTCTGACTTGATCAAGGACTACACTACAGACAATCAAGGTGGAGGTCTCAAGCCTTTTGAAGATCTGAGCTCATGCTTAGGAGGAGAAAGAAGCACATGGACTTCTGGAAGCCTATATATGATCATCTTAATCATTTACAGATCTGTTAAGGACCTTGGTGTTGAGAAGGGCATTTCCTTCAATAACCTTCCATATGTCTTGTTTATCTAGTACGTATTAGTCCTGAATGCAGTTGATAAATGCTGAACTTGATTACCTTTTGTTTGGATAGAATATAGTCATAACACTGCGAAAATGAAGAAGGGAGGACTTGGATTTGCATCTTATGAAAAGGGAGGATCTTTTACAGTACCTGGAACTTAAAAAGAAATTCATCATACCTCATTTTGGAAGAAGATCAGAAGAGGAAATCTAGGGAGCCGATTTTTTTTTTTGTAAAAAAATGAGATTTGCTCTATTGCAGGGTCTTCAAGGTCTTTTTCTTAACACTGAAACACTACAGTCCTAAACACTATTTTCCTTTAGTGATAATCTCTGACAAAACCATCCAAGTAGAGTCTCCATTGAATTTTTAACCATGGAAGGTAACTTTCAAGACTAGCCTCCAGACAAATTGGTTGCAAACTGTTGGTCTATACTAAGGATTGAGTTGACTTGTTCTAAAATTTATTAATGTCAAGATGGTTATAATACTTGAAGATTTTAATGGATTTTGAAGATTTTAATGGATGATGGATTCATGTTTTCATCTTTAAGGTTTGGAAACTGGACAAATTGCTTTCACTGTGATAAAATTCTCTTCCCGGTGTCTGGGGACAAGAGTTGGTGGGAAGGCAGAGCAGGTCACCAGCTCTGTCAAAAGTGGATGGATGTGAGTAAAGCACAAGTGAAAAGAACAAGGACATAGTTTTGTAAATTGTTTATGAGATGATGGTGATAGATGATCCCAGTTGAACCTGACGCACTGTGGTGTTCTCTTATAATAACAACTACATTTAGCGAGGACTATGGTATAACCGTGCACTACACTAGTACTTACACACAAATTTGTATTTAGTCCTCACAATAACCTCTCAATGAGAGAGTCACATTACAGATGAAGACACTGAGGTTGAGCAAGACTCTGACTTGTTCAAGGTCATGCAGCTGGAACATGGTAGAGGTAAAGGGTCCATGAAAAAAATCAACTGCTGTGCTTTTATTGTGTTATTTTAGTTGCAGAAAGGTGTGTGACCTTATCACTGCTCCTCATCCATTTCTTAAAAAGGTGACAGCACGGTAGAGTGGTCAATAGCTGGCTGGGGACTCACTGCTCCTCAATCCAACTTGGAGCCCAGAACTTATGGCAGGCCTGACAGAAAATACGCAGATATTTTAGAGGAGATGGTTAGTGAGTAGATAATTTAGAGGAAGAAAAGAGTTCATTTAAAGGAGAAAATTGGATAAGGCTACTTCTAGGTCTAAAGGGAAAGGTCAGTTATTACCCACAGTGTCCATGTTGAAATGAACAGAATCATCACTAACAGGTTTCTTCATTCCAGGAAATCTTCCTGGGTGTTTTGTTTAGC